CTAACCAAAACTCGAGATAACCGAAAGTCGGTTGGTGTTCGGAGACTGGGGGAGATGGTTTTGGTTTTGGGAGGCGGTTCAGTTAACCGAAAATCGGGATAACCAAAACCTTGAGCCCTCTTTCGGTCAGTGGTCGATTTTGGGAGGTGGTTCGGTTTACCGTTAACCAAAATCCGGTTTTCTCATAAACTGAAATCGACCGACCTCTAGCCCTAATAAATTGCACTAATTTTTGGTAGTTTATGCAAACTGGACCAAATAGGGTGCTAACACCCCTTAGTGTTAGCAGTTAGCACGATACTTATATAATTCATTAAGAGTATTATTGTAATTGCCAACTCATTGCAGCTCCTTTCCACACTCTGTCCCATGGATTTGGTTTCATATGCAAATTACAATTTGGTACCTAAACTTAACAGATTTTAAGATTTAGTACATAAATTATTTTTTGCATATAATCCTTACTATTTTTATGAAAAATTATACTTTTAATACCTAAAATTTATGTCTTACATTTTGATAGATAAACTTTTAAAATTTTATAAATAGGTCAAAACTTATGAGGTTTCTAGTATGCTTTAAGAAACTTGTAGAGTATGCTTTATGTGGTTTAGATTGTGCTTTAAGAAACTTGTGGTATACTTTTATGAATTAGTGGTATGCTTTATGAGGTTTTCAGATATGTTTCATGGAACTTGTACTATGCTTTATGAGGTTCCTTGTCTGCTTTAAGAAAATTGAGATCAGCTTTAATAAACTTGTACTCTGCTTTATGATATTTATGGTTTGCTTCAGTGAACTTGTGGTCTGCTTTAATAATCTTGTGGTTTAGTTTAAGAAACTTGCGGAAATTACAAGCTCCCGTCCATAAAGAAGATGGCAGACGCCATCAACAACCATTGCCAGGCTCGCATGTCTAGGACCGCTGCCTCACCTCCGCCGTCGACTTCTTCCTCACTACATTCAAGCTCCGATGGCGATGATTGTGATAATGCCCAATTTTGATTGTGGGCAGGAGCAGAGCTACGTTGGGGTTCGGGGGGCAGGGGCCCCTCAAGAATTTTGAAAATCGCGTATAAGTACAACGAGCATTTAAAATTACGTATTAATTAAGATCTTCTATAAATACCGATAATGTGGAAAGTGAAACAGATATGTTTCTATGTAGTCTGGCGGAGAAATGGTTGTTTGTTATATTGGAGGATGTGGGTTCGGTACCCATCATCAACCCAATTTACTTATTTTTTGTTGTTTCAGTTATAGTCACTTTAACATCATACTTAAGTCATCAACCCAATTTACTTATTATTTGTTGTTTCAGTTATAGTCACTTAATAACATAGTCTTTAACTTCAAACTAGTAAATTAAATTCATCAACTTATACATTAGATCATAAAATATAACTTTGGATATGTACCAAATTAATTATTTTTCTCATTATTCGGATACATTTATTTGTTACTTATAATAACCGAAGAACATAGTACAAATAAAAAGATGATGATTATTTTTTGTTGACAATTTATTTAATAATGTTGAACACCGCTAACCAAAACCAAACCAAGCCTAACTTATAATTAGACACCAGGGGCGGAGCCAGGATTTAATCATCGGGGGGGCCGGAATTTTCTTAATACGTTAAAACAAAAGAGGAAAAACTAGTAATAAAAATTATTTTAAAAACGTATTATTATAATTAAAACTCAAAACTTTTTCACATTGAGTTCACTACAAATCATAAAAAAATATAATGACAATAGTCGAATTAGCTAATAACTAGCTTCCAAAAAAGAAAGGAGAGGGCTACTGCTTACCAAAAAGGCAAAAAAATAAAATATATGCTCACCTCAAGAATTGAACCCATGACCATTTGGTCCTTCTAAATTGCCAATTCCGCTAGGCTAACTCAAATTTCATGTTATAATCTGCACGCTTTGTCTTTTTATTAAATACTTTCTTGTTTATACGTATTATCCTAAACCGTTTACACGTAAGTTTGAGATTCTCGGGGGGGCCGGGGCCCCCTTAGGGCCAATGTAGCTCCGCCCCTGTTAGACACTAACCCCATAGTAAAACATCATCTACGGATAACCTATACTTATTCTAGGGTGGGGAGTTGATATTGATGGGGCATACCGTTGTTGTGGCTTGTGGGGATAGTCCAAACATCTCACTCATATTGGTTGTGGCCATGGCATCATTGAATACCCACAAACCTCATGTCATGAAATTCAGCGTTTTCTACATTTTCAAACTTCCCCTTCATACCCGCGCACTACCTCAAGAATCCGTTGATCTAAATTAATATCCTATTCTCCGAATAAGTAAACATTTTATTTCTATTCCTAATATATAAAAAATTCAAAATACAGACCCGACGTATAAAAGAAGAAAAACTATAAAGAAATGAGAAAAAAGGAAACCCCCAAAAACAAAAAACAAATCAGAGAAGAGAACGACCCAGAGAGAAAGACAGATCATCATTCACTTCACTCTTCCACAAGTTCCAATCTTTATCATTCATTCACAAAAAAAAACCTTTCCTTGCTACTACTCTTACTGCTTCACAATAATCATCATCACCATCACCAGTTCCCCCAATTTCCTCTTTCCTTCTCTGCTCTACGCTTCTCTTTTTAGATCTCTGTTCTCTACTCTACGGTTTGATGTGTACAAATGTGAAGCCTCGGGCGTAACGAAACAGGAGCCCTACCCATCAAAGCATTTTGCCCCATCGCCTCCCTTTTTCTCATTTCCTGGGTTTGGTTCTGCTCATAGCCTAGCTAGCTTCTACCCCATTTATAATCATCGGCTGCAGTTTTGATTCTTTCTTGCTTTTTCAACTTGGAAAGACCAGAGACTGGTTTCCCCTGTTTTGAGTTTTCTACCCAATAGTACCCCATTGGTAGTAACTTGAAAACTGTAAAAAAGAATCCGAGGCTACTAGAGAGCCGGGGAAGTGTCAAGTGTGTTGCTGGGTCCTAGTTGAAGGCGGATTAGCTTTATTGGGTCTTTTGATTTTTTGGTATTTTTGGGTTTCCCTTTTGATGGGTTTTTCCTTTCTTCATAAAAGGTTTGGCCTTTCTCGCAATTTTTTTACCAAATGCGACTTGGGTTTGTGAAAGGAGGAGAAGGGAGGAGCGTCCAAAGGAGCCTGTTGAGTTTTCTGTTCAGAGTGTGAAAGAACCATTTGCGTGTGTGGCTGGTTTGAAAATGGAAGAAATAAAGAAGAAGAAGATCAATGGTGGCGGTAGTGGTAGTGGGAGTGAAGAATCTACCAAGAAGAAGGAGAGGCATATTGTCACATGGAGTTCTGAGGTTTTCCATTCTATAACTTTGTTCTGATTTCCCCCGCCTGATTTTGTTCCTTTCCTTGCTGTTTGGTTGTAGAGAAAAATCGAATTCTCTTCTTATTCTTCATCTCTTTTGATTATTCTCTTCTTGGGAATAATCGGGGCTTATAACTTGTGGTGGCTGCAGGAAGATGATATACTTCGCCAGCAGATAACCTTACATGGAACAGAGAAGTGAGAATCATATGAACGATCTTGTTTTTTCTCCTTTCTATAGCCTTTTTTATGGAGTTCGATTGAAGTGTTCGACTATATGACTGAAAGAGGCTGATGGTTTTTTTTTTTTAATTTATTGCACAGCTGGGCGATCATAGCATCTAAGTTCAATGACAAAACAACTAGACAGTGTAGAAGGAGGTAAATGAAATGACTACTTCTCCAACTGTTTGGATTATGCTCTGTTTAGGGCTTTAGGCTATGCACTTTCTTGTTTATTTAGGGAAAATGAGACTGAGATTGTACTTCTCATTCTATGATTAGTGATAGTGACATCTGATTGATTTTGTTACTGCAGATGGTACACTTACTTGAATTCGGATTTCAAGAAAGGCGGTTGGTCTCAGGAGGAAGACTTGCTCTTGTGTGAGGTAAAACTCCAGAGTGTCCATCTTGATGGATTAAGGTTTACTTCATGAAGGAAATCCATGGTTTCATATTCCAAGAACTAAATGCTATTTGTATCCTCTAAATCAAAAGTTTAACTGGCTTTTCTCTAAGTTTGCTGATTGTCATGTAGATATTCTCTCTGGTGTTAATATATGATCTGAGATAGAGGGTGGTTATCCGGTTTTGGTCTGACGATTGCGAATCAATTTGCAGGCTCAACGAATATTTGGTAATAGATGGACAGAAATAGCAAAGGTTGTTTCAGGCAGGTACTGAACAGTTTTTTTAGATCTTTCTCCTTGTGCACATTTCAAATGGAAGATGTTCCTTGTGGCAGTCTGCTAACAATGCATCTCTTATTGCAATCGACCTTTTTTTGGTTTATACAGAACGGACAATGCTGTGAAGAACAGGTTCACAACCCTTTGCAAGAAGAGAGCAAAATATGAAGCATTGGCCAAAGAGAATGAAAGCGGATTTAGCAAGTCGAACAACAAGAGAGTCTTGTTGGATGACAAGGTTAACACTGATAGAAACCCAGAAATTGCAGGACCTGCCAAGAGAACTAGGTACGGTGGAACATCTGAAAAATTTCTGCATTTGTGGTTCCATGGCCAGTTTGCAGCACATCTGTTGAAGTCTTCTTTTTTGTCTTTGTTCAAACTCAGGATGTCCCACATTCCCAATGAAATCGAGGCCCGAAATCTTGGAGGTAGATCACACCCTAAACAGGCTAGGCCCCCGTTTATGGTGTTGGCTCGGGATGCGCATAAAGTTAATGCTGCTAATCAGCATCCAGTCATCAATAACAAGGACGTTTCCCCTGGTGGTAACATTCTTCTGCAGAAAACCTCCCTTCTTTAGTTCAATTGAGCTTTCTTGATGGCCAGTCAGGTTATGTTGAGTATACTGGTAGTAATTTTCTTTAATCCCAAAATGTTTAGCAGCTCTAAGCGGTAACACTCAAGGAACCTTTCTAAAAAAAGATGATCTGAAGATATCAGCCCTAATGCAACAAGCAGAACTTCTCAGTAAGCTGGCGCAGGAAGTCAATACAGAGAACACCAACCAGAGCCTCGAACATGCTTGGAAGGTAAGCTTTTTCTTCCAGCTAGTGAGCTAAATCCTATTATGTCCATTTCATTCACTACCAAAGGGCACATTCGTTAACTGAACGTGTTATGCAGGTACTCCAAGACTTCCTGAAAAAGAGCAAAGGAGATGAGATCCCGAATTACACGATTTTTGACATTGATATCCAACTTGAGGATTTTAAAGACTTGATAGCAGAGCTAAGGAGCAGCAGCGATGGAAGTCATCCATCTTGGAGGTAACCAAAAAAATTGAGGTTGATAAGTTAGTATTCAGATTGAGCAGTGTGTTCCTAAAAAGAGAGCTTACCAGTTACCTCAATCAATACAAATATTGCAGGCAACCTGATCTATATGAACAATCTCCAGCTAGCTCTGAGTTCAGTACAGGGTCAAGTCTCATGCCGTACTCAGCTCCTGATATAACAACAGAAAAACCTCATAGTGAAATCGAGATGCTGCACAAGGATGTTGGAAGTGAATTGGAAGCAATGCATGTCGAAGGACAGGAAGTTGTTGAAAGTGAATGTCACAACGAAATTGCATCTGGGGATAACATAGCTGAAGGTAAGCAACAGATGAAGAAAAGCAAAGTTGTCAAAAGTACATTACTTCCCATCCATGATAGCCTATGCTGATGAGATGTGTGACAATTTTCAGGGGAGCTGTTTCCATCATTTGAAGACCAAACAAATGACGACATAGTTGTTTCCTCTTCATCGAGTACAGAGTTTGGCTCCCCTCGTCAAGTTACCCCATTGTTCAGATCCTTGGCAGCTGGAATTCCTAGTCCCCAATTTTCAGAAAGTGTGAGTTGATTATATTGATTCTCTTAGTTAGAACTGCATCAGGTCATCTCCTATTACCTAAATGGTTGGGGACAGGTCTCACGGAACCTAAACACTTCTATATTAGGTCAGGCTACTACTGTCACCTAGGTTTGAGAATGCCGTTAGTTGGTTCTAGGGATTTTGATATTCTGAGCTTGCTGTATATAAGAGGTAGTAGTGCTGCCTGAAGGTCATTGAAGTTTCATTTAAAGGTTTATGATTAAAGGACTTCCTCACCCTAGTCTTGGTTCCTGAGGGCTTATTTAATATAGCAAGTTTCTTATATAGATCTAGACTCTACCTAGATTGATTATGATAAGACTATCACTTCCTCCTCCACCCACCACACAGCATTTTCTTATGTACCAACTTCACTCTCATGATTGCCACCCAACATCCTGTTTACATGACTTAACATCGATATTGAAATCTTCAGGTCCTCCTCTCATTTTGATCTTTGTTGATTTTCAGGAAAGAAGATTCCTGCTGAAAACTCTTGGAGGGGAGTCTCCTTTCTCTAATCAAAGCATCAACACCTCTCAACCACCTCTCTGCAAAAGAGTCCTCCTCCAAAGTTTATGAGATTGAGAATCGCCATCAATCTCATATGCACGACATGGTCTATCCCCATTCCTAATATCTTTATTCATCACATAGAGAACCTGGTTTCTCAACCCCACCTCCAAAAAAAAAAAAAAAAACTGGTTTACCTCAAAACAGTCATTATATTTGCTTTACTAGGGGTGCAGCTATCCTGGCCGAAGTTTTATCATCGGCAAGTCGAGATTACTGCATCCAAAACCCAATGTCTAGAATGTGAAGGATGCATTCTAGCCAGCTCAGGACACATACCAAGAAATGTGACTCGAGTACAATTTTTCATATTGGAAGTACTGTAGGAGAGTGCTACCATGGAAGAAAGGCGCCCCCACCCCCTGTGATTGCTACTGGTGTGGCATTCTTTTGATTTTTGCTGCTTGGATTTCGGTAGATGGGCTACCGCAAATCCAGTTTTCGGCCTTTGGTTCATAATCATATGTACAGAAATCTTAGTACTACTACTATATATGCCTGTAGTCAGAGTGTAATTAGACATCGGCATCTCGCCTATATAAGAGTAGAGAGAAGAAACATAGAAAAGAAGGAAAAGAGAGTAAAGGAGGATTAACTAGCTGATTGGATTCCTATTTTTTTAGTTTTTGGTGTGCATAGGGTATAGAATAAGTTTTTTTTCCCATGTTTTCTTTTTTTAGTTGGTCTTCCTTTACCTGAATTCTGATGTACCAGAATAGAACCTTGGTGGGATTTGAAAATGGAAATGTCTTCCTGGTTTTGGTGTGCATATTTTATCTTTCTCTTCATCAATTCTATTACAAGTTTTTATCTTTACTGCAATCAAACTCGGATGAGGAAGAAGATTCAGACTGCAACAGAGCTCTCTTCAGAAACAAGAAAAATTCGAATGTAAGTTGGTTACATCGCATTTACCTGACTGAGGTCATTCCTCCATGTCCTTTCTCTCCAGTGTCCCATGAAACCAGAATCTTTTCCTTCTGCTTTTCACTGTAAAAGGAAGAGAGGAAAGTAAGAAGTAAATAAGAAGGGAAGAGAAAGGGCTAGCTTCACTTGTGCTTCAGAGATGGGATTTGGCCACTAAAAAAGCAGAAGAACAGTTTGGCCAGAATCTCTGCTCCTCCATCCATCCATCTCTCTGCATTATTCCTGAGCTTTGCTTCTATGGGAAAGGCCTGTGGGGGAGAAGTGAAGAGAGGGTCCTTGTGGATTCTGTTATTTAGGAAGGGTTTGTAGTAGTGGTGGGTGATGGTGGAGGACAAGTGTAATCATTTTGTGCAAAGCTAAAAGCAAAGAAGGAGAGGGAACCGCATACAAATTAAAGCGTTTACTCATTGATTGGCTTCTCCTTTCTTGAGGTTTACTCCCCAAGTCGACTATTTTGACTGTCTTCAGTCTTGAATCTTGATCATATAATTACACTTGGAAGATGTGATATCTGAACCACCAAGCAATATCCTTCCTGGTCACCCCTACCAACTCACTGGCCCATATCCATAACCCACTGCATACATGTATTCACGTATGATATATCCTACTTGGCTGCAAGATCAATCAATAAATAAACACGTCGAGCGAATAAGGATTTGGTCCAGTGGTATATTTGGTACGATCTGGTCATTTCTGGCAATCCAGTGGTATGTTTGGTATGATCTGCGGTTGATTCACGATCCATTGTACTGACAGTCTGAAATTCTGCACTTATTTACCAGACATGTAGTTGAAAGGATTAGTGGCCTATTGGCTATTCGGTGGCTCTTTGAAGTTAAAAACGTCTCCACCACCATAGCAAATTATGATGACAATAACAAAAAGGGGAAAGAGAAGTGGTAGCCAGGGTTTCTTTCTACAGCCTTTTTTAACTGCAGATGGTGAAAAGCATCTTCTTCACCATATATTAAAACCACTACGAACAGGCTACCAGAACAGAGCTACTTCAATTCTCTATATCAATGAAGTGTATTCGATTTCAGTTACACTTGGCTGTAATCTAGTTGTGGTTCTACATTTCGTACCAACCTGGAAGCTACAATGACAATATAACAGGGCAGTGAGAACAAAGTTACAAAAGAAAAATTGAAGAGAAGAAGGTAGATCTCCAAAACTGTAGAATTCTAATGGCATCAATTGTTCTTTCTCTTCTTCTGCACTTTCTGCAACTTCCTCCACTTGAGAAAGATCTGATACGATAGACCAGAGAAGACCATGGCCACCGACCCCCATTGCTTCGTCGAAAGAGGGTTGCCACTTAGTACGGAAGAAACCACGATGCTGACGAACTTGCGAGTAGTCGTGATGGTGGTGTTCGCGAGTGATCCGAATCGGCTTATCGTTAGGAATATGAAGTTCTGGCCCACTGCACCACACAGGCAGTAGTACAAGATGTCCCATGCTGCCTCTGGATGCTGCTTGCAGAACTGCACTGCATCATACCCCATGCCGTATGGCCAACCAAACATGTAGACAATGTTGTAAATGGTACCCCACAAGTTCATCCCCAACATTATGTCCCATGCTGTGGTCTTCGGATACCTGTGGATAATACAGGTTGCAGTTGAGACATGAACATAATATGCATGCATGATATGAAAGCAATCAACTTGACAGTTGTGTGTTTGTCTTGGCAAAGCATTTAAAGTTACCTTGCTGTAAGTGAATCCTGCGTGGCATTTGTGAATCCATCAAATGCAAGATTCAAGAAGCAAAGTCCATACCCAAGAGGTGCATTTGGATGAGCTAGCTTGCTAATGGTTTTTGAGTTAGTCTGAGATAGAAAAGATGAAGCAACCAGTATGAGAAGACGAGAGAAGCAGCAACACTTTCAGTTTTTCAATATAGCATAACCTCTGATATGGCTCCTAAGAGCTTAACTGTGATAATTTCTCACCTTCAAAAGTGCAAATGTAGATACACCTCCTGCAACGAGGAAAGTACACAAGTACTCTGGAAGTGTGTATCTTATGCCGTATACTAGACTCCCCATCAACATAACTGTAGGAAAGGAAACAACCTCTTAGTTACGAAGGTAATGGTCACCTTTGATCCTATTTTTTATTTTAGAAGTACAAAAGTCGGATCCAATTTAGGAGAACTGCATTTATGGCATATGAGTTGATGGCTAAAAAGATCACCAGCACCTTCATGCGAGAAACATGACAAATTTTGAGAACTTCACAAAATAAGTAAAAGTCCACTAATATTAAACTCTAACATGAGTACAGATTCATTTGCAAAGGCTAGGAAAGACTGAAACTAGAGCAGACATAACAGAAAGCTTCACTTGGTGAGAAAAAAGTCCCACCTGGAATCATTTTCGATGATTTTGCAAGAACCTGCAAAAACGAGGACCATCATCAAGAACCAAAACATATTGATGCCAACATTTCAGATAGACTACGCAGTGCAGAAGCCATTACTATGACCATGAAGTTGATGTAAGCCAACATGAAGACCACGTAAATACAAAGCAATGGTTGTGAAACCATTAAGTTAATCCACTTCATCTTCTCATTCCTAAACTCTATGTTCCAATGCAAAAAAGCAGTAGCCTTAAGGGATGAATCACAAAGCATTTCCAACACCATTCTAGAATAGCTTATCATTTCCCCCATGTTCTGTCCAAGTAGCCCAGCTCCAAACCCAGTAACAGTCACTAACTTTTTGGGAACAGAGAAATCGAAACATGCCTGAGCTGGATAACTGATGTACTTCAAGGCTTCAATTCCCATAGCTGGCCCAATCGTATTAGTAATGCCAGCGCTCCAGTATGACCACCAGGGCGCACCACCACCGCTGCTTCTAGACCACATCTTTATCACTGCAAAATTCAACCCACCACGACACCAAATTATCAGCGCTCCAAAAACCCACCTATTTCCCTTGACATTATCAAAATAGCGAGCCGCACGAAATGGAGGATCTACTCACTCATGAAGGACCAAATCAAGCAGACGACACTCTGTGCCAGATTAAGAAACGCCAGATGCTCAAACCGCTCCCCATCAGGACCAAAGCGCTTGGTCGACCTGTTCGCAGCAAGTAAAAGAGAAGCCTTTAGCTTTACATATCATCAAACGTATACTTCCAATCGCTCCATTACAGAATCCCAAATCCCGATCCTTAACTTGCAGCACCAATCGACAATGCTCTCATTCCTTGCACAAATTCAAATCGCAAAAACAAAGGCCGGGAAACATTTTGGGAAAGTTTTTTTTTTAAGCAGCTTACAGAGTCTCCTGAACCACTCCTTGGTATATATAAGCCGCCCAGATCCCGGCGATGCAGAACGCCAACAGAATCACGCGGCGGAGCCCGGCGTTGTGTGCCTCCATTCTGCCGCCGCCGGTCACCGAAGATCCGGTGATCCTCTCTCTTCGATTCCTCGGCGATCTTCTGCTACGAGAATATCGAAGGGGACTGAGCAAGTGGCAATGGTAGGAGTATACCGCAGATTGAAGGTCTGAGAAGGGTGAACTATGGGGGCAAAAATGTTACTACACCTTCAACGACCAAACGGCGAAGTATTTTCTCGGGGGATTTCAAGCGCAAAGCAACGTCGATGTGCCCACGTGGAGGTTTCTTATTGGGCTGGTGACTTCAGCAACGTATCCTCATTGGCTGCAGAGACGCGGTCTGTTTTCGTGCCCAAAAAGCGTCGTTGACGTTTTGCCCCCCACTACTGGTGGAGTTGTCGGATTAATTTGCCGTTTCTCCCGGTGACTTACCAACTCTTTTGGGCTGGGGAAAGTTGTTGGATTTGCGGAGCCCAGCCCATAGCAGGTTGGTAAGATAGGCGTTTATCTCTTTTAAATTGGTTGGGCCGAACTAGTCGGGTATCGCCGAAGGAATTTATCCCCTCGGTCCTTCATTCTCCGACACGGGAAATGAGTATTTGGATTTACTTATATCTATCCCATTTTCCGAGAGTTACGAGTACTCAAATACTCGTAATTTTTTTATCGGATGAAACTTGTGATCTAGAAATTTTTTAACGGGTATCCACGAGTTACCCGTTAATACCCGCCCATAGGCCAACCCAATGGGAACTTGTTGAATTCATAGCTATTGTAGCTGCTGAGTACACATTCCGGCTGGAAGGTTTATGTGATTTACTGCTTCAGTTTACTAGCTATCTATTCCAATAGTTCATCTTCAGTGGGTTTTGGGTGTACATGGGCGTTGGGCCGTGCTTGGGCCGGCACGGCACGGGCACGCTTCGGGCCCATTTATTTCGTGTCGTGCTTGGCACGGCCCGTCAGTTTTCGTGCCGTGCCATGCAAGCCCATTTGTCAACTTTGCTAGGCCCGGTCCAGGCCCGAGCACAGTTCGAATCGTGCCGTGCCTATTCGTGCTCGTGTCATGCTCGTATTCGTGTTTAATGAAAAGGACGAAAACAAAAGAGAGAATGAAAAAGAAGGTGAAAATTGGACGGGGAAGACAGTATTAACCGATAATGTTTGAGAAAAGTAACAAATAGGGGGGAAAGAAAATTGAAAGTATAGCGAGTGTGATTTGGCTTTGTTTAATTCTTTGTCAATTTTTACTTATGTTAGTAATTACGTATATAGCTTTATGACACTTCTAACAACAACAAATAATTATTTTTCTACTTGTGTTTTGTAATATTTGAACCTATAATTATTTTAATACTTATTTTTTATCAAATAAATATTATTTTCGTGCCCTGTCCGTTCTTATACTCAATAAAGTCTCGAAAATATTAGGCCCTACACAGCCCACTTATATACCGTGCCGTGCCCGTGCTCGTGCCCGTGCTCATGAAGTTTAGGCCCGGCACGGCCCATAAATTATTCGTGCTCGTGCCGGACTGACCCATTTATTTCGTGCCCGTGCTCTAACCGTGTCGTGCCGTGCTAGCCCGTGGGAGGCACGGCCCGATGCCCACGTACCGTTTTGGGGCAGGACTTTGAACATGCGATTGAATATGTTGCAGGGTAATGAATGGATCTGTAGTTTCCGTTGCGAGGGAGTTGGGTTTCGAAGGGAGTCCGTCATTTGAAATACTTGTGGATGCAGGCGAACATTTCAGATTGCTATGGTTCCATTGATTCTTGGTACAATCGTGAGGTAATTTAATTTTGCAATTAGTTTGGATAACACAGGCTTTCCGTTATTGAAATTAATTAGTCATCTTGTTCATTGTTTCCTTTGTAGTTTTCGGGTAACAATTTGATAGGACAGTGCACAAGAGCACTCGTTTGAAGACATAATTGGTAGACGATTTCTGGTTGGCCTTGCGATTGAAGATGATTGTTTTAAAGGTTACCCGTGGGTATCCGTTATACATCCCGTACGGGTAATGGGTACCCGTTAACCCATATGGGTTTGGGACATGGAATGAAGTTTTCTCAACAAATGAGACTGGGTACCCGTTTCAAACGTGACGGGTCCCCAGTCCCGTCCTGTTGCCCACCCCTACCTCCCATCCCTTTTCACATGACTGGGTATCAGTCGATAGCATTTACTGAATCCTCTCAGTTTAAATGGCCGATTCTGTCAAAATAAGCCAACCTTAAGTATGGATTGAGATTATTCTCTTGTTTATTGTAATGAAAGCGAGTTGGGGTTTGCTGGTCGTTCAATATGTTCATCTAGTTTGAAACGATGTCTTCTATGGAATCTATTCATTACCTGTCGATTAGCTACTATGAAAGAGTTGGATAATATCATTAATCACGCTATGAAAGAAAATTTTAACACTAGGTAGCGGAGAATTATGTACTCTTTGTACAATGCATACCAGATTTTACAAGTCATTTGTTTGCTATGAAGAATATGGAAATCACGCAATGCAGCAGTTTTCGAGGATACTCAAATATTGTCATATGTTCTCGCTGCTCAATTCAATCACCAAGTACAAGAATTCTTCTCCACTCATCCATTTGTTCTTCCTCCCCCATCACCGGTCGTTCCTACATTCATTGCATCCTGACCTCCCCCTCCTCCTGTTCACCTCAAACTCAACTTCAACGCTCCATCCTTCTCGAGGTAGTGCTACGGGCTTGGTGTTGAAGTCTGCCGACAACCGTGCGTATCTCGCTATTGCATTTCAATGTCTTGGGATTGGCAACCCGTACGTACCTGGTTGAACTACTAGCTACTCGAGATGGTTTAAACTTGTTTCGTAACATCTGCCTCCATGAATTCACACTATAAAGGGATTATAAAGTCTTCATTCGCCAGCTACTCAGAGGGATAGTGAAAGATGCAATTGAAGATCCGGTACTCAGAGACTGCTATAAGATGATTGCTGCTCTAGAATTAGGCTTAGAGCTTTGTGCGATCCTTAGGATCGCCAATCAGGTTGGCCATTGTGTGGCAAGAAAAATCATTTCTCTGTCTAGTTTAGAGTTGTTTTCATTTGATTTTATTGTTTGGGTGGGAAGATATATATGATAGCTAGATTCTTTTCTGCATTCAATTGTCATATCTTAGATAAAAAAAAAATCACTCATGCAACAAATTTCAAATTGGGGTGAATGTTTTTCAATGCCATTATAAAGTAATCAACAGTATAATTTATAGCTGAAAAGTATAACTGCATCCCCATTCAAATTTTCCTGTTCGTAGAGTGATTTTAGGAGGCTGACGTGGCAGGGTGTTTAGGCGGGGCATCTTAATCTTAAAAAATCTTAAAGCAGTTTTAGAGTCCCACCCCCTCCACGTAATCCTCCTTCAAACGATAAAGATCCACGTCGGACATTTAAAAGGCCTCTCTTCCGCCCAATAAACATGCCTCTCCTCCTCCCCTTTCCCCTTCGACAATTTTATAACGGTGTCTCCTCCTCCACTCTTCTTCCCCAAACGCCATGAACCCAGTTTCCATTCCGTAGGCCCTAGGACGATGCCAAAGATTCTTCCCTTTTCCTCCGTCAATTGGTATATGTCAGTGCGGCCAAATTCCATTTTCCGCCATGGATCCAGTTTGTCCTTCTTCATTCCTCCGCGCCAACCGTTTGAAAGAGCCCAGATTCCTCCGCAGGCGGCCGTCTTCCGAACACCGCCATCGTTTCAATCGGTCCCCTGTGAACTTCTTTGTATTCCCGCAGGTAATTTCATCTTGGAGTAAAATCTGTGCTCGAATTTGTTCTATTTTGTACCGGTTTTAAGGCTTCTCCAACATCACTTTACAGTTTGAGGAGATATTTCGCCCTCGAAAGTGCGTGTTAGACTTCCGCCTAATCTGCGGCGCAAATGTATCTTATTAGTCTCCTTCTCCTTGATATGGCGATCATTCTTTTTCACCCTTTTCGACCCATATGTATTACCTATTCTAGATGATTGAATGTGCTCGACTATTATCTTGCTTTTTAATAATTGTAGGATGAATTTATAATATTTGTGAAGAAGTACTATCTAGATTCTGCGTCACTTCCCAGATAAGGGATTATGTTCCCACTTTTCTATTTCTTTTTCAGTTTTTGCACATAATTTGGCTTAATTATCTCAAACCAATGTCATCTATTCATTGCTTATATATGCTGAACTAAGTTAAGATAAGCTTCAGGGGAGCCACTCCACTGCCCACTCCACTCATCCAAGTTACTGAATTCTCTATCACCTTTTGAACTCCAAGCAACCTCAAAGACATATCTACTTACTTCACTGTTTTCATGACAACCATACAGGTATACAATTAATCTGTTGGATGAGGAAACCGCGAGCAATGTCAATTTTGTCCTACTAAATGATGCAGACTGCAAATTCTAGGGTACCACTACCACACCACCTAGAAGAGTCTCTGAACTCATTGGAGATATCAAGAAATTCAATGTCAAAGTCAGTAACTTCAACATAGAGAAGAATTCCATCACTAAACTGATGGAATGTGATTTCAAAACCGACGAAGGAAACCACTAAAACACAACCAAGGTAATCCTGCAACTATTTTGCTTTTCTCATTTTCAAAACTATACTTACAACACTACAAAGTAGAGACATTGGCATGGTTAGTTGAATGGGCTTCCTATGTCATTGAATGTGTTCCATCCATTAGATTTTGCGACATCAATCAACAAGTTAGATAATAAGTTCGACTCTTGATAGTTTCTTTTCACGATAACTTAGATAGATAGTAGGTTCAACTATAGATAGTTAGTAATGCCTTTCCATCATGGTTTCCTTGGAAAGAGAGCTACATTTAACCGAATGTGATAGCTCCCACTAAATGGGTCCATTTTCTTCTGACGATCAATTATGCATGCTTTTAGCTCACAATTGGTGATGCAACAAAGATTAGGATTCATACACATGTTATCAACACAACTGCTTGGCCAAATAATCTTATAATTTGTTTTAAGATTCCATGCTTATGTGTGCGACAACAAATTATCATGATATCCCATACAATCTACTGGTTAGCGGGGGGATTTTGAAACATGTACGAGGGGGAAGCCTGACTGTTTGGTTGTCAGGAAAAGTTAGAACAACCCAATATTAAGGAGATGTTAGGAGAACCTGGTGATGGAAAGGTAGCCTTCCCTGAATTAGCTTCTGTGTTGGCACTTGACAGTCAGTAATGTGCAAGAGTAGTTGAAGTTTCGCTTAGCTATTGATAAGATATGTACATTGGTCACTAAACTTGCATATGATGCTTTTGATCCTTCTATAAAATGCTACTTGCTAATTTTGCATGGTGTTTTCATCTGGATTGAAGTTCTTTTGCCTCTTTCACCTTATGTGAGCTTCACTTTCTAATTTCTATTCCTATTATTTATTTATTTATTTGCCGCTTTTCTGTTTCTATCTCTGGCTCAAGGTTACATTACCTCCAGCGCTTTGGGGATTTCCAATTTATGGCCTGCAGAGTTGGTAGTGGCCGATTTAATGCAGGGGGTTCCCTCCATCTGAATGATGATGGAGAGGATCCAATTTGTTGTGCTTTTTCTTTGTGTCTCTTTCTTTGGTTGGTCAAGGAAAATGCAAAAACCATAGAGGGAAAACATCACACCACTACTAGGGTCATTTTTAAGAAACTTTCATGCATTTATAAAAAAAAAAAACTTTCATGCATTTATAATCATCGAATATAACATATTGAATAACTCATTGCAGCATAACTTTGGAACTGAGGTTCCTGACTATGTCAAAGCAAGCAGCAGCACCAGCCAACGACAACATCAAAATAATTAAACAAGAGCCAGGACTAGCAATGGAGAACCAAAGCAAAAAAAAAAAAAAAAAAAACAGCCGAGGCTTTGGTGATATCAGATTTTGAGCAACAACACAAACCAAGAACACCACCAAGGACCAAATGTCACCACCTATAGACTACTACTATGATGGTTATGTCTTCGGTGCAGTCACTTTTTTGGGTGCATTTAATGCACCCGTCTTATAATCGTCATTCTGAGCAGGCGATTCATGTGAAAATGATGTCAATCATCACTTGTGGTATGATGAACAAGAACCACATGAATTTGTACAAAAATCATTCAAGATTCACTTTAATTTGAATGATTCAGGGTTTAGGAATTTAGGGTTAGGGTTAGGGTTTACAATTTGGGATTTTGGGTTGAGATTAAAAATAGAAGGTTAATAGGTTAGGGTAATTGGTTGATTAGTTGGGGTTCTATGTTATATCATCATATTAGACTAATACAACCCATTAAATTTCAAAATTTAATGTATTATGACCACTTTTAGGGTGCACTGAATGCACCCAAAAAAGTGAGTGCACCGAAGTAGCCACCTCTACTATGATAAATATTCCAGAATAATTTATCTTCCTAATGTAAAAAAACAAAAAGCCTTCAATTGTATATAAATAAATTGTAAAGGCAAATCTAAGCTACTGCTATAAATTGATAAATAAGGTTTTATTTTCCTCTTACATTAAAAACATAACCCCTTGCCCTTAATACAAGGTCTGTACATCTATTTCTTAAAGCTTATTGGTAACCTCGTGTGTAACTAAAGCGCAAACCAAAATGACATGAATAGAAAATTTATTGGTGGTACTGAATTGTGTCATATTGACGTCTAAAGGATGCAATAAAACACAAACCCCAAACGAAACCTCCCTTCAATATCAACACACAAGATAATTACCGGGAAAAAAATATCAATACACAAGACAAACAAACATAACACACAAACACCACGCAAAACACGAAGCCAAAGGCCGGGCACCCAGCTAGTGTGTAGAAGTGGCCCGAAGAGTTTCTGAAAATAACTTATTCAAGTTTATGCAGTTTTAGTGGACTTGAGATTAATTGTTAATTTCTATTAAATACAATTTGAAGAAGAATTTCCCACCATATTTTGGAATAACGTTTATGTGAATTTTTATTACCTTTTATTCATCAACTATGTTCCTACCATCAAGAATTAGATGGTATCCGACCCTTTGATTGTAATGTTATTTGAATATTATGTATTTGTGATGTACATTTTAAAGTTTTCAAAATTTTTGAAAAGTGTATTTCTACCCATTAGCTAAATTAATTGTTAAAATTTAATTAAATAATAAATATATGAAAATCGAAATATCAAACTCCAAAAAGATACTGACGAAATATTTAGTGGGCTAGTTAATCCTAGTGGAAAATCATTCATTTTTAAGATTTAAGATTTTTTTTATGTTTTTAGTTGAAAATAATAATCAAATTTATTTAGTATAATTGATAATGATTCATGTCCTTATTAAAAGAGATCATGGTTCAAATTTCAGAATTGAATACTTTTATTCTTATGAATAAGAAAAATAGCTGTAAAGACAAATCTACCTTTTTTATTTTCGCTCTCGCTTTAGATTTATAGATGATGATGTTTGTCAGTTTTTTCAATTTAAAAATCAAATCACGCCTTAATACCAAATTCTAAGAATAGGGCTTGGAGTTGGACATGTTCATTTCGGGCCTTGATGGAGGTTGGGCCAAATCCTTTGCAGTTTTGTCATCTGTAGCGGGATATGTCTACCTCCAAAGTCCAAACAGGTCCAGCCCAACACAACGATGATTTCTTTATTATTTGCCACTATTAGTTTCTCTTTAAACTTTCCGAAAATGGGAGAGAAACGAAAAGAGAACGAAGGTTTGACACAGCAAACCGGAAAAATTCCGATCAGCGGAACGTTTAAAGAGTGTCAGTTGCAGAGCTCTATTGACCTCCTCCAACAGTCATTCTCGCTTGCCGGAGATGTTTGCCTCTGAAGATATATAGGTAATTCCAATTGTTTCCGATTCTCGGTTTCAATTCTAGCTGATGCTTATGATTCCCTCCTCTTAAATCTCGACCTAACTCTGTTCGCCCTAATTCATTCAGATTTGGACAATGAAGGTTGGGGTGGAGTTGTTCAGTTGTTGAAAGGGGCAAAGAGAGAGGATTTTTTTTTTTTGTTGAAGTTTCTTGTGAGTTCATATTTCGCATTCTGTGTTGTTAGGAGAAAGAAACAACGACAGAATGGTGCTGGTTTTAGCTATAGGGGACCTTCACATACCCCATAGGGCGGCCGATCTGCCTCCAAAATTCAAGTCCATGCTGGTTCCTGGCAAGATTCAGCATATAATTTGCACTGGCAATCTCTGTATCAAAGTATGCATACCTTGGTTCTCTCTCAGTTCTTCCATTCTTCCCAACACTCTCTTTCTGAGTTCTATTATTGGTTCTTCATCTTTAATTTGCTTGCTACGGATTTCCTCCCAGTGTAAATTCCGTTATCCATATGTGTTGTTTGTTATTAGATAGATAGGTGAAGGCATGTTGCAGTCACATAGTTCCATGTACTTGCTGGTTTGAACAGTTGATTCAGAACTTCTAATGGTTGTGTTGTTCCGTTTTTGACAAATTTTGTGTATGCTGACTGAGAGATTCCACATTGACGGCCCATTAGTCTGTTTTTAGTGGAAGACAGAGTTACCTAGTGGTTTGCATATTTGATGGTATGTAGTATTTGGAAGACGGTAGGGTTTCAAATGGGTCTTTTTTCTGGAATCTCCAAAGGTTTATGGGTGCCTATGGATCTCTGGGACTACATACTGTTTCAGATGCTCTGCTTTGCATTGCTTTGTCTCCGAGATTATATTTTGGAACTATTAGATCCATGTTTCGGCAGATGCAATGATATTTCTGATGCGAATCCTACTTTTTGATTTACTTTGCAAGTCATTTATAGCTGGTCATATTCTCTTTGCTTCTATACTTGTAATTCTTATTAGCTACTGTTGTGTGTGACTTTCACGAACAGGAAGTGCATGACTACTTGAAGAGTTTGTGTCCTGATTTGCATATCACCAGAGGTGAATATGATGAAGACTCCCGCTATCCAGAGACTAAGACACTAACCATTGGCCAATTCAAGCTGGGAATATGCCATGGCCATCAGGTTCGCTCTCTAAAGCTGTTGCATATTTGCACTTCATTTATTAGCTGATATTTCTCATTTGGACAAGGGAAGGCTGGGCAGGGTAGGACATAGGAGGGTACTAAAAATGCTGAATCAATGCCATAGTGTTGTTTGCTCTACTCCTGGGAATCCTTATTTTTTCATGGTTTATGCTCTGAAGGTTATTCCTTGGGGAGACTTGGATTCACTGGCCATGCTGCAAAGGCAGCTTGATGTGGACATCTTAGTGACTGGTCACACACATCAATTCAAAGCCTACAAACATGAAGGAGGTGTTGTCATCAATCCAGGCTCTGCCACTGGCGCTTACAGTAGCTTCACCTATGATGTGAATCCAAGCTTTGTGCTGATGGACATCGATGGTCTACGTGTCGTGGTGTACGTATATGAATTGATCGATGGTGAGGTCAAGGTCGACAAGATTGATTTTAAGAAGACCGCCAATCCTCGGTGATTAATCATGTTGAGAATGTAGATTGGAGCCCATTGAACCAGAAGGAAGCGGGGCATCTGGATGAATAAACAGGTAGCGTACTTTCAATGTTTGTTCTCTCACTGTTCCTGATTTGCGAGACTTGATTAGGGTTCATCGGTGTGGTGTGTACCTTCGTATATCCATTCTCTTTTGTCGTCTCGGTCTTTCGAGTGTTTGGCAGAGTAAATGTACTCTGTTCTTTCTTTTACAAAACTTTATTTCCAACTTCATGAACTGAATGGATGTTGAACAGGAGTAGACCAGAGGTATTAAGAACAGGTTGAACTGAAATGGGGATTTAATCAACTTGAGTTTAATGTGTTTCTATTAGTTTCTTGTCCTCATATTTCCTCACAATTTCAATTTGCTGCTGTTTGTCAATTTGGTGAAATATTAAGACTTCTACTGGGGATTGAGGCTTCTAAGTTCTAACAGAACTGACCTTCCTTAATACGAAACTCTAGCACGGTATGTCTACCAGTTCATCTGCTTGGTTGTGGTGGTGTTTAATTATGTTTTTGTACAAAATCATTTGTTATAATTATGTTGCTAGCTGGGGCAACCATCAAAGAAGAGTCTTTACCAATTACAGATGTTCTCTAAGTTTCAAACTCAAAATTTTGGTAATGTGGAAGGTACTCCATACGATCACATCCCACGTCTTTTGGTACTCATTTCATTTATTTACTTGGCGATGGTTAGATACGGCCTTCCATTCCTTACCCATAGCATAGCACATAGGGCAAGGAAAGGCTCAAACACGCTCAATTCGATTAGCTTGCTTATAACCATAGGCGTAAGCACGTGCTTATGTCGTTTGATTGGATGCCTAGCAATTCGATGTTATCAGATGCACACGATGTCTTATTTGATTGGCGTGCTTACAACTCTTAGCCTAAGTACATACTTAAGCCGTTAAGATCCGTTATCTAACAATCCACTGTCACCAAATGACGATCACGATGTACATATGATAACCGTGGTTTCATGGATGCTTCATCTAACCGCGTAAACACATGTTTGTACCTCCATAGCCAAATTCAGTCCCGGGCTCTGTCTCCTTTAAGATAGACCAAATCGGAGGTTTTGGTACGAAAACAAATATAATTAAAGCAACAGGGTTGCTGCTGCGGCAATCAAGCTTCTGCAAGTCCGTCTGGAGCTATTCCTTTTCCCTCCTCCGTGGGAAACTTGGGGGCCAAGCAAACCCTCTTCATCCCAACAAATCAAATAATAAATACCCCTGCCGTCATTTCACCAATCGTATTCCCCTGTTTTCCGCTTCGTATTTCTGCCCTTCTCTCCTCCCAGCCCACCCTAAACAAAAAAAATCCTCCGCCGCCGCCGCCGAATATGGAGACGAATTACGTCTACGCCTCAGTAGACATCGAGAAAATCGGCCCCTCCCCACGGCGGTGCCTCCGCCGCCACCCACCATCCCAATCATCGTCGTCTTCCTGGACTCATCTCAAATTCACATTCTCCTACCAAGTCCACCACTTGCTCGTTCACCAACCGGAAGTCGGAACCCCGACCCTCCTCCGCCGCTCATCCGACCCCGCCGTTTCCAGATCCCTCTGGCTCGGCACCACCGGGGCGTTCAGCAAACGGCCTCACGCGCTCTACGAAGACATCGCTTCCGTCTGGTGCTCTCTCGGGATCGATGAGCGGTTCCACCGCCAGCTGTTCGAGAAATTGGTCGCCGAAGTCCGCGACGCAGCGGATTGCGTTTCCCCCAAGCTTATGTTTCTGCCGCTCCGCGTCGCTGTTGTGAGGGATCACCTGGTTTTGCTAGACGACGGCGACCCGATTGCGGATGTTGGCGAGGAAGAGGAGGTGGAATCCGTCTGCTCGGTCGATTTCATACCCGAGTAATCCTGACGGCGGCGGAGAGTTTGATTTATTGGCCGCCCTGTTTGGGCGAGCCCGGGGGTTTTTTTTTTTGTTTGCGGTTTCCTCGGCGAGAAGAGGCCTCCATGGAAAGAAGCTTGCTTGATGTTTTACAGGGTACGCTTTCTGTCAAGCGGAAGAGTGCTAATTGGGTAGATTTGTGAAGCCATTGACAGATTGGTGATCGAAGGGTTACCTACCGCATTCTTGTTAATCTTTCCTATTGACTAATTAATTGGGGTTTAATTATCTTTTGCCTCTTTGGTTTAGTCGTATTTGTGTAAGTTGTAACTTTCTAAGACCTCTGACTATGGGCAATAAGATCGAGCATGGAATATTTTGGTTGTGTTTGTGACTCTGATTATCTGATTATATGCGTATATGAGTTTTGAGTATTCTGATGTGTTCATCGATCTTTCACCAGGTTTCATCAAGCATGTTTTGGGCGTGCCAAACAGTAAATTATAGCCATAGAAGTAAGGGTGGGCAGTCTAGCCGGCTGAACAGCTCCAAATCTGTGATCGTCTGAACTGAAACTCAAAACATCCGGCTATGAGAAGTAGAAATTCGAGGTCTCCACTAGATGTCGAATAACATCGTCCACATAATCCCTGTAGTTGGGATCGTTGTGAGCATTAGTGCCGGCTGATCATATGGCAGCAGAGTTGCAGAACCAGCAGCAGCCAGCCATTGTTATACAGCCCTGCTGCCCCGTAGTTTCAGAGAGATGTTAGTACCCATTGGCAGCGTATTCAGAAGGGTAAGGCGCCATTGTTGTATTATTACTGTTTGGGTGAAGCTACTTGAGTGCTTTTTAGTTATCATCCTTTGGAGCTTGTAGTGAACTCTTTTGATGCGGATTGTGTGCTTGCCAATATAAGCCTGTTGTTGCTGTGGTCTGAGACTGTGAGTAGCTTGCCAAGGAAGATTGACTAGCTAGCGGCTTCTGAAAGAAAATTCTCATTTTGACTGTTCGGCAGTCTGTTGATGAGTGCAGGAACAAGGCGATAACTTTCTCACAAGCGAATGTATAACGTTAACGGTAACCTTGCTACACCCGAAATTCACGCTAGCGGACCCTGGAAGGCAAGGTTGTCAACCCGCGGGTTGATTCGGATCCGGTCGACCTAGTGGGTCAACCGTTTTAGTCCGGTTTGGCCCGGAAATATGGAAAATGTCATTATATTGTACTTATCCTCATAAATTATATCAAATCTTATCAAACATATGAGTTATAACATATAATATTACACCAAAATAACATATCGTACTTAGATCCAACATATAATGAAAATTCACACACACTTATGTAACATAAATATTCAAATGTTCAACTTAGGATTCCAAAGATTGAGTTGGGCGAAAAGAAAAATCGGAAAATAGGCGCATTTCGCAAATCAAAGGAAAAAATGACACAATTTGACCTCCAACCCGGTATCTTATAGTGGTCGGCCCGGCGGGTGCGTGCGGCCCGTTTTTCTCATTGGGTCAGGGTCAAACTAGGTCGACCCGCGGGTCAGCGGGTTGACAACCTTGCTGGAAGGTAAAGGCTCCTACTTGGCCACAAAACCAAATGAACTACTCGATGCTACATTACTAACCTAGCACTAACACTGAAACAATCCACAACCCATAACATAAATAGTTCAACATATAACACATTAATTCCCGAAGCCCAAAGGTTTTTATTCCCATCATCAATCTAAATTCTAATCCGTCTGGTTTGTATGGACCGGGACATCGGGAGTTTCAACAATCGCTTTACGTGATCTTCAATATACGACATTGCTTCAGTTAGCCGCTGCAAATTAGCCAACCTGCTAATAAGCGGCTCAACATTCAGTTTGAAAAAAAAAAAAAAAACTCGTTTGACACTCGGGTTGTTTACTTACGAGTCGATTTTGAGCCAATTCTCCTTGTTCGGCTCGCAAGGCTAGTGAGCTAGCTCGACTCAATTGTTTGTAGAGTTCCATTAGTTAGTTAGCTTGTTTTGAGCAATGAGCTGCTCAATAGTATGGCTAGCGAACCACGCCAACTAGCAAATTATGAGCAAATCAATTAATAACTTATCATTTTCATGTTGATAATTCATAAGTTTATTAGATTAAATATCTCCCCACACATGATGTTTAAGAATTTGAGCACGGGATCAAATATGTGTCATTCATAATTTAAAAGAGAATTATATATATCATATATTGCTCAGATACTAATTAGTAATTACTATAATATTACATGATATGAAAATAAAAAATTATAACACTAATCAACTAAGTGATATAATACCTTAAATAGCTCGAGCTAATATCACGATCTAATCGATGAGCCGAGTTCGAATCGAGCTCGGACCAAATACAAGATCGGGTTTTAGTAAACAAGCCAACCTCAAACTCAACTAGTTTATAAACGAGTTGAACCAGACTTAGGTTAAAAACTTGGCTGGAATCGACTCATTTGTAGTCCTAGGTGCGAAGGGTGTGCAACTGTTCGATTCGGTCCAGATCAACCTAATTTCACGAGAACCGCAGTCCAACAGTGAAAGATATTTTAGAACCAAGAAGCAAACCGACAATGCATTCGGTGCGGTTTGTTCCAGTTAGGGTTGCAAATGAGCTAAGCCGAGTCGAGTTTTACCTCAGCTTAAGCTAGGCTCGTTAACAAACGAGCTGAGCTCGAGCTCGATTCATTAACGAGTTACGTACGTCGAGTCGAGCTCGAGCTAGACTTGTTTAGTAAAGTATTGAGTCGTATTTGATACCTCATTTTGAATGTCATGGATCATACATGTGATTGATGTCAGGATGAAAAAAAAAAGTCAAATGCTTAATATTAACTAATCTCATATTCTACTTTGTTGGTATCATATTATGTAGCTAATCACTTTTAACTAGTTCAAATTATGTTATTTAACAGTATCGAAGCAATATGTTATATATAAAAAATAATATATATTTGCTCACATACTCGGTATGTTAAACTTCATATAGGGCGAGATATATAATTTACCAATCATATGAATTAAACTCATAAAATATAGATCGATTCGCCCATAAGTCGGTAATTAAGTTGGCTCTCTAGCCAAAAGGTGAGACATCTCATGAGCTCTAAACGAGTCAGCGCACGAGTTTAGCTCAACAAGCCACCGAGTCAAGCTAGCTCGCGAGCTTCACGAGTTTAACAAGACTTAGCTCATACTCGGCTCGTTAATAAATGAGCCGAATCTCGAAAAACTTTTCTCGGGTCGAGCGCCGAACCGCTCGCGAGCAGTTCGACTCATTTGCAGTCCTAGTTCCATACTAGTCTGCTGGAAAAGTTTGCTGAGCGAGGGTGTACGTGCGTGTTCATTGATTATGCCTCCAGCCAGAAGAGTAACATGTTTTAAGAACTATCTATGCAGAACATTCTAACATCAGGTGTTGTCCTTTTTCATGAAATCCAGTTCCCATTTCAGTCCTTCGTGTCGCAATGCCTCCATCTCCATTGGATTCCACGACCCATTTTTCTCAGCTAGCCGAGGACTT